ATGTCCATTTTAGCACCTCTTTTTATTCCTTCTATCGCATGCCAAGGTATAGCCCATAATGGTACTTTAAAATCACTTTTATAATATTTTCTCCAAGTCCTAAGTAAAGAAATTCTTAAAATATGAGATTTAAAAACCCAATCCATCTTTTTGTTGAGTATTAAATAGGCATGCCACCCGAAAAGTAAATCCCATCCCTCAAGATAAAGTATCTCCGGATTTGTCAAATTTACCCAGTCACTAATTAGTGTTAAAACCACCGCATCATAATATAGTTTCAAATTCGGTACCTTGAGTCCACCCCTCTCACGGAAGTCTTGCATAATTTTAAACTTAACCCTTGGCTTTTTCCCTGCCCAAATAAATTTATTAAGGCCTTTCTGCCATTCATTTAGATTAGTCTCATTCTTCAAAATCGGTAACATTTGAAACAAAAAGAGAAACTTGGGTAGAATATTCATTTTTATCACTGCAATTCTTCCCATGAGGGATAATTGCAACTTCTCCCAATTCTTCAAATCATTCTGTACCCTAACCCACAACCTTTCGTAGTTATTTTTAAATAGTTTTGCATTAGAAACAGATAGCATCACCCCCAAATATTTAACCTCTTAACTTATATTCTTTTTTGTTGACTTCTATTCCTTTAATTTCCTGCGACTCTCGAATTTTAATCAACAATATTTCCAATGTTAAAACAAACAACAGTGGTGATAATGGACACCCCTGCCTAGTACCTTTCTCTATTGTAAAAACCTCTGACAGACCTCCATTAACAATAAGTTGCGCCGTTTGTTTTTGATATATTACCGTAAGAGCTTGTAATATCTTTTCACCAAAATTCATCTCTTCCATTACTCTTAACATGAAATGCCAATTCAATTGATCGAATGCTTTCTTGGCATCCAAAAATATCAGCCCTGCAGAGACTTGGTTGTTCTTATCTAAATATTCTAATACATTAATGATTTGTCTAACATTATTTTTCATATACCTTCCAGTTATAAACCCAGATTGATCTTTATGCACAAGGTAAGGCACAACCCTCATAAACCTGTTTACCAAAATTTTAACAAATATCTTATAATCCACATTTAAAAGAGATATGGGCCTGTAATTCTTTGGTAAAGTAAGATCTTGATCCTCCTTTGGAATCAATGATATAAAGGCACTACGCCATGAAGGAGGGATCTCTGAACCCTGTAAAATACCATTAAAAAGATCACTTAATGGTTGAATCATCTCCTCCATTAAAGCTTTATAATAAACAGCTGTTAACCCATCCGTACCCGGTGCTTTCCCTAATTTCAATTGTTGGATTACTAACGCAATTTCCTCCTTAGTAATTATCCCATTAATTTCATGTTTCTGATCCTCTGTCAATCTAGGGAAATTAACCTCACTTAAATATTTATTTATATCTAAAATTTGCACATTAGTAGATTTATATAACTTTTGATAATAGTCCAAAAAGGATTTCTTGATCCATTCCTTCTGAGAAACTAATTTACCCTTATAGTTTATTTTCTCTATTATTCTCTGTCTCTGTTTCTTTCTTAATTGATAAGCCAACTATCTCCCTGGCTTATTAGCATTACAAAATGTATTTTGTTTCATAAACAACAAATTAGTTGCAGCTTGATCTGCTAACAACATATTAAATTGTGACCTTAGTAACTTTATAGATTCTTTAATACTTTCATCAGAAGGATTTAAAATCAAGGACTTTTCTTTTAATTTAATTTCATCTTCCAATTCTTTACGTTTCTGAGTCTGCTTTCGCTTATAACAATTATTCATTTTTATCAAAACACCGCGCATAAATGCTTTACCTGCATCCCATACCATTGAGATTAAAGTTCCCTTATACATATTCAAAACAAAATAATCCTTTAAACACTCCTTTAACTTTTGAACATTCTTCTCTTGTCTAAACAAATTTTCATTCACTCTCCAGGATCTTCTCTCCTCTTTTTCTTGAGTCAACTCCAGCCAAACTGGACTATGATCCATCAACGATCTAGGAAAAATCTTTACATTCTTTACTCTATTGTACAAGTCCATTGTAATAAAAAAAAAATCAATTCTTGAAAAGGATTGGTGTCTATCAGAAAAAAAAGTGAAATCTCTCTCCTCTTGGTTACATTCCCGCCAATAGTCCCTTAATTCCCAGTCCTCCTTCATATCAAAAAAGGCTTTAGGTAATTTTGCTTGTTTAAAAAAAGGAGAAGAACCTTTCTTGTCCCTTTGTATATCTAAGACACCATTCCAGTCACCCATTAATACCACAGATCTATAGTCCAGCAATGTTATTTTTTGATGTAACAACTTATAAAATTGTTCCTGTTGCTGATTTGGTGCATAAAGTCCCACTATAAGTACTTTCTTACCATATAAACCAAGTTCAATCATCACATATCTTCCCTGGGGATCTGATTCCACCAGACAAGCTGGTAGATTTTGTTTAACATAAATAACAACTCCCCCTTTTTTCCCAGGAGCAGAAGATACAAAATGAGATCCCAAACGAGCATTAACTAAATATTTCTGATCCTTAAGTAAAATATGAGTTTCCTGTAAGCAAATAACATCATTGTTATGTTGCTTCAAATAGTAAAAAAAAATTTTCCTTTTCTGAGGAGAATTCAATCCATTAACATTCCAGGTCAGAAACTTTGCCATCACTCTTGGTCCGCAGCCTGGAGAAGACACCTTCAAGATCTGCCATTGCTGCATGTGTTGCATAACTCTTGGGTCTTGCTCCTCCCACCGGCGATGATGCACTCTCAGAAGAAGTTTCTTTAGCCTCTTTCTTACGTTGCTCCTTCTCTTTACGTCTATAAGCTGCACGAGTCATTCTCTGCTCTTTAACCTCCGTTTGGCGTTGCCATTCAGCTTGCAGCATCCCAGCAGAAACCAAACCTAATGCCTCAGATTGCTGCTCCGCCTCTTTACCACTCAAAGATTTCTGAACAGGTAAAATTGAGCCTGCACCCAGGACCGTATTATAAAAATCTCTAGCTTTATCAACCGTATTCAATCTGTAACGTGTCCCCGCATGGCTCAAAACAATACCCATCGGGATTTCCCATCTAAATGGCATCAATCTAGCTTTAAGCTCATTAGCTAGGAAGGCAAAATCTTTCCTGCTTCTTAGAATTTTTGATGGGATTTCCTTTAAGATGATGACATCTTGGGCAGCAATCTGGAATCTTTTATTATAAAAAGCCTGTATAATCTCATTACGCAGAGACTTCTTTGTAAAATAAATCACCACATCTCTAGGCAAATTCTTCTGCTTAGCAATCCAAGAGTTAAGTCTATAGATTTTTTCCACTTCTCTGCGTAATTCTCCTTTATCCATATTCAAAACCACAACTAAATCAGTAAGGACCACCTCCATCAAATCTTGATTCGTATCTTCCTTGAGGCCTCTGATCCTCAAGGCATACTCCATCTGTCTGTACTGAAACATCAAAATATCTTCTTGTGAAGTCTCCACCTTCCTTTCCACATCTTGAATTTTATCATCAAAAGAATCAACTTTATCTTCAACTTCCTCGAGTCTTGCATCCAGCTTCACCACCACCGTAGCCAGGCCTTAGACTGCTGCAAGTATATCTTGTCGCAAAATGTTGTTATTATCTTCCATTTGATCCTTTATCCCACTTATCTCTTCTTTAAAGTCAGATTTAATGTCTGATTTAATCTGTATAGCAAATTGCTTCATTTCCTCTCTCATTTGAGCTACAGCATCTCCCATTATGCCTCTAGCCTCTTGTGCTGAAAATCCTGGCAAAGGAGGGGAGGGTGGTGGCTGAGCCGGTGGTGCATGTTTAGATTGCTGTTGTGGTTGTGCAGTAGAGGTTATAGGAGAAGAAACCACCTTGGATGTTGTAGAAGGCGGCTGTCTCTTTGAAGCCATTTTAAATAACCCAGTTCTCACTTCCCTTTCCCCCAAAAAGAAAAAAGGAGGGGGAGAGAGAGAAAAAAAAGTTTTTTTTTTCTTTTAAAAGAGACAGCAAAGGCACTATAATCCTTAGAAATCCAGAGAGAAAAACCAAAAAAGTCAAAAAAATCAAAAGAAGAAATTCAATACCAAAAGCAAAAGCAAAATAGTCCTTAAAGAAAAAAAAAATGAAACAAAAGACAAGGAAAAAAAACTCCGACACTTTCAAAGCGCCATCTTAATTCCTTTCTCCATACTAATAAAAAGAACAAAGGAGAAATAATCAAAACTAAATAAGAAGAAAATAAAAGCCTAAACTATATAAAAAAAATCCTTTAAACCACTCTGTCCGTTATAAAAACTACTCACCAATACACTATAAGCAAGGAGATAGAAGCGGCAGTTTCTTTTGCTTCCTAGAAAGCAAAAACAGCTGGGAGGCGGAGATCAGCAGGAGCTCCGAGGGAACACTCCATTCACCCCCTCTAGGAAAAAATCCAGAGGGAGTTCAGGGGTTCTACCTCTACTCCTGCGTTCTCTGTCCCTTCCCTTTGCCCGGGAAGGGAATTCCGAGCCGCGGGAACTCTGTTATTCTATTATTCAGACTTCCTTGGTATTTTGGAAAAAAAAAGGGTTGCACCTTTCATGAATCCATCACTTCAAGAATCATTATCTTTTGTGAGGTTTGTGCCCTGAGAAAAGGATGAGTTCCTAAAGGAATAATAGAGAGGTACTCTGATTGCCTGTTATCTGTAGCACTCCTTTCAAATCACATTTCACATGAGTGCATCCCCATTAAGGATTTTGAAAAAACAACAAAAATATTTTGAGTCAGAGATTTGGAAGGGGCAGAGATAATGAAGCTTACAGCACCATTCCAGAAGAAATTAAACTTTATTGCTTGCTATTTTTGGAATATAGGGTTGGCCCAAACCAGGTATCCTAAAAGGGGAATGCTTGAATATTTTTAAAGATAAATATGATATGGAAATACCTCTAGCAGATCAGGAACTATCGATTTTCACGGTAAAAGATGACAGAAAACAGCACATTCAAAAATTAAAATTGCTCTTTATTTGTCATGCAGACTTGCATAGGATCAAGCATTACAATTCATAAAATAGCTGCAGCAGAAACAATCACCTTTTCCAATATTGCTTTCACAATAAAGAAAGGAAGAAAAGAGGTCTTGTGACAAGGAGAGAAAGAATGAGAACGAGTACTATAATTGTGTGTGGAAACATAGCATTGCAAGGGAACAGATTATTTATGTCTCAAAGCTAATTTACTGTAGAAGAGTATATGGTTAAAATAGTTTGTAGCTTCATACTGATTCCATCTGAAAACCCAAAGAATATGCTCAAAAAGGAGAAGAGTTCAGAAATGTTGTTTGGAATGAGACAAGTCCATGAAGTTTGCCAGTCTAGAAACCCTCATTATATCTTTTTAATATCAATGCTAACACATTGTATCAAAGAAACTAAGAAGGTGTTTAAAATTATTGGTTTTCTCCATGTTTTCTTCTCTAAAATCAATTTATTTTGCACATGTCTGGGACTGCAATAACTGGCAACCTGGAATGCCTCTTGCACAAATTACAAATACTGACGTAGTTGAATATAGCTAGGTTGCAGAAACAGGTTTTGTTAGAGAAAGGTTTAGTGCAGAATTTGCCCCCATTAGATTTCTACTGTTCGTTGAATAGCTGATGCTCCAATTGTAGCAGTAATGTTCAAATGGTATACTATAGATGTTCACAACCCTCTCACTGATCTACCAAGAGACTCTCTTGATCTGAGCCCCTTCTTTAAATGATTGTACAAACGGCTCACTCAATGTGGTTGCATTTCCTTCTATAAGCCATGACAGATCAAGTCCCAATAGAGGAACAGATCAAGCGTGTTGGATTTGGATGCAAATATCCAGATTAATGTTAGAGCTAGACCTGTATGGAAAAGGTGAAAGTGTCAGAGAGGAAAAGCGCATTTTTCCCCCTTTGCATTATTTACACATCAGGCGTGATGAGCATGGTCATGCAAATTGTCATTCAGGAGGAGGCCCGACTTTAATAGGCACTTCTCCTGCTTGTACTGGTTTTTGATATGATTTTTACACTGGAACTTCCTCCTCCCCCTGAGGAATGGCGACCTCCTCCAATACTGTAACTGCTCCCACCTCTGCTGCTGAACCCTGAACCAAAGCCAGTTCCTCCATAGTTGCTGCCAGAGCTAATGGCATAGCCGCCGCCGCCGCCACCACCACCACCGATTCCAACTCCAAATCCTCCTCCGAGTCCGGCAGCACTTCCTCCGCCGAATCCTCCTCCCAACGCAAGGCCGCTTCCACTACCATATCCGGTGGTAGTAGTATTGCTGATTACAGCTGGAAAACAGGGAAGGTGGGAGGGAGAAAGTTAAGTTGCTTCTGTGATTTCTAAAGGGGAAACTCATGTCAGGGTCCTTTAAAAAAAAAAGCACACACAAAAGTATAAGTGGACGTATACTTACAATAGCTCACATTTCCAACGCCTTCTTGCAGCCTAAAAAGCAATATAATAATTGGAGTTAATGCTTCAACTTACAGTAAGATTACCACATTTTAATATAAAAAGGAGTATTGTGATGACAGAAATATGAACTCAACATGCGTCTACAGAGTTAGGAGCAAGTGATGAAGCATACATCATCATATCACAGCACAAATGTCACGATTGACAGACTGCTGTTACATATTGGGGCAGAAGCGTAGCAGGGTGGAATTTGCACTGTGAGGTTATCACATGTGTGGCTAGCCATGGATGCTATGAAACTTTTTATGCATTTCCCAAAGGTGCCTTTTCCAAAAGGCAACTGGACTTTCTTGGTGTTTCTCTTTGAAAATGTTTTGCTTCTCATCCGAGAGGCTTCTTCAGTTCTGAAGTGAACTGAATTGAACTGAAGAAGCTTCTTGGATGAGAAGCAAAATGTTTTCAAGGAGAAAAAACAAGAAAGTCCAGATGCCTTTTGGAAAAAGCACCGTGGAGACAACCATGACTATTTGGCTGTTTGGATATTGGATACCTAAAAAGGATGGGCTCAAAAATGTCACCAGATTTGTGCTTTGTGGGCCTTGCAAATCAAATGAAAAAAATGAACCACAGCAATGTGTCTTTCTTTTGAAGAGAAAAAAAAAAGATCTTAATCTTACAGAAACATGCAGTTCCATCATCTTCCAATCAGTGAGACAAATGTAGAAAAACAGCATTCAGGTCAGATCATTTAATCTTTCTATTTACAAACAAGATTTTTTTTTTAACAAAAAGAAAACTTTTTTTAACGTCACCAGGAACTTTTAAAAAGGGCTTTTCCGGTTTCATTTGAAGGTGTTCAGATGAAATAGCCATGGGAGTGATCTTTTTTATTTGAAGAAAGTGAAAAGGAAGGTTAATAAAAAGCAGTAGTTAAGCTATGGGTTTAGCAATTAGTTAACAGCATTATATTTAGTGCTGTGTTTCCCTCCCCCCACTGACCTGATTTCTTCTCCTTCTAGCAGCTTCCTGTAGGTGGCGATCTCAATGTCGAGGGCCAGCTTGACATTCATGAGGTCCTGATATTCCTTGAGCTGCCGGGCTAGTTCTTGTTTGGTTTTCTGTAAACATTCCTCCAATTCATTCAGCTTTTGCTTAGCATCTTTGAGGGCAAGTTCACCACGATCTTCAGCCTCCGCAATGGCTGCCTGAATGTTGGCACACTGGGAATGGGTATAACAATTATTATTGTTATTATTGGAGGCCATTCATGTGAAAACTGTTACAATGGATTCTCTTTGGATAATTCGGGAAGAATATCTCTTCCAGCCTGGAATCAGAGAAAACTTGAAAATCTCTTCTTAAAGACAAAACATATTTATGGGCAACAAAACAATTGTATACTACCAATATTAGTATATAAAATACATAGGTGCTGAGTACACATCTCCCTCTAAATCAAATGTTTTTGGTTCAATGAATCAAAACTGCAATAATATTTCCATAAATGGAGCTAAGTGACTCTATTAGCTCAGGTTTTCTCCAACAATGGAAACAAGCTATTTATAAGGTTTTGTGAGAGCCAGAGTTGGATTGTTCATTTTTGACTCAATGTATTTTGTAACCTAAAACCATTTTAGTTACAAATCTAAGTTTATGCCTTGCATAATGTGCACATTCAGACAATTATGGCTTAAAACCATAGTTAAACAATTATACCTAGAAGAATATACGAACCCAGCTGCTGTGACAGCAGATCTGTCCCATGCAATGGAACTGAGCAGAATTCTATAAAACTTCATTTGCAAATTAGTTAGCACTAATTCTCAACAACTGCATGATTATTTATATTTTTTTATAGACTAATGATAAGAGAACAAAAATATTTTAATAATAATAATATTTTAATAATCTGGAAAAGCTGGCTCACTATAGTTGCCTGGTTACCTTCCTTTAGAACATATTAGGGTGTGGAACAATTTACATAATAACCTGCCTGTCTGCCTGCTTGTCTATGCTGTAGTAAGACGAAGGTGATTCCTGGTTTAATTTGCAATGCCTAAGAGCTATTGCAAAGCAACTAACTGCAAATTGTTCAACTTGTGTGGATATCTTGCAACATTTGTACAATGAGAGATGTACTATCTGTGGATTTACTAGCAAGATCCCACAGAGTAAAAGAAACACTAAAATGTGATTATGATTAGAATAATGTAGTGTTTAAAAAGAAGAAATTTTGAGTGTGCTAGTCTTTGGTGTCTGAAAGATGCTCTTTCAAAAGGTAACTGGACTTGTTTTTTTTCCTTAAAAACACTTTGCTTCTCTTCCAAGAAGCTTCTTCTTGAACTGAAGAAACTTCCTGAATGAGAAGTGAAACATTTTCAAGGAATCTCCACAGACATAGTCTTTGGTGTGTATAATGGCACCTCACATGCTTTCTACTTATTTCTGATACTGCACAGTGTTTAACCACAGTCCATAATTTTTCTTTACCTATGTTATCTGAATGCTGAATAGCCATCATTTCTGGTTAGTGATAACTGGCATTCAAATCAATTAATTTCAGTTAATGGTAATGAGAAATGGTAACTGCTTGAATTTCAGATAATATATTTAACTGTTGCTAGTCTTAACAATTATCTCATTTTTCAATGTTTGCCTTCTCTCCCGTCTCCCTTACTTTGTACTTGCCCTCCCTCCCTTTTTTTTTTTTTTTGGAATATACTGCTTCAGGAGTGCTTCCTCATGAAAAACTCACTATGTATCTTGAAAAATAATTCAAAGTAGTTTTCTCCCTAGCGTATTTCTTTTCTGTATGCAAAGAATGTATTCAATTAGTTCTTGGAAGACTGTTGAGTCACCCCTTATAAACACATTTCAGTGGTACAAATCTGCTCTGGCAAAGCAAAGGACACCTATTCTTTAGTCCATTCTACAAGCTAAACAACAAGATCCATTAAAATATCACCTGTTTCTTGAAGGCATTGATTTCACTTCGCAGTCTCTGGATCACCCGATTAAGCTCAGCAATTTCTGTCTTTGTGTTGCGAAGGTCATCACTATGGCGCCCAGCAGACACTTGTAGTTCTTCATACTGACATTCAGAAATAAATAAAGGTATCATCAAAACAAAGGAGATGGAAAATGACACCCAGCACAGAAGCTGGGGAAGACATTTTATTATGTGGGGGCAAAAGTTCTATCAAGGAACTCTTTGTAGGTTGAGGAAATGAAGCTACTAGGGTCAGGATCACAGGCTGAGGCCTGAAGCTTGCAGTGCGGGGACACATGTCTTTGGCTAGCAGGGTCAAGAAGAGTCTTCTCTGTCATGGCCCCTGCCCTCTAGAACATCTTCCCACCAGAGGTGAGATCTGTCTTCATTCTTCTGGAAGGGCCTTAAAACCTGGCTCTGCCAGATGGCTTGAGGGCCCAATGGGGGCATACTATACTAGAGGTAGCTGACTGAATGAGAGACAAAAGAGCATGTCTGTACCATCCCTGCTCTTGGTTTTTAAACTTTTATTTAATTATTGCTAATTATTGCAGAAAAGGAGGCACACTAATGGTAGGATTTTGCTTTGCCATTCTTTATGTAGAGCAAGGGTATCAAGCAAAATTTCATTGAGGGCTGGATCAGCATTGTGGTTGCCCTTGTGGGGCCGGATGGGTGTGACCAGGGTGGGTGTCACCTAATGGGTGGGTGTGGATGGAGTGAGTGTGGCCTACTGGGTGGCATGGACAATTCTACATCACTCGCATCAAGGGTGCCTGTGGGGGCCTGGGTAGGAGTGGGACAGATCTGAGGGTCTCTGGCAGAAGGGGGTGGGACTGGGGGAAGCACCAAGGCATGGTCCATTTCTTTATTCCTCACAAAGGGTGACACTTCCCCAGCAAGCACCCAGGGGGTGAGGCCGACGCGGCAGGGACTGGTTCTTCGCTGTTTCTAGACGGCCTTGTGCAGCTAAGACTGAATGTGTTTCAGCATAGATGGCCACCACAAAATTGTACATTGGCTCCCGACCGGCCTTGGCCAGGGCCAAGGCAGCGGGGGCTGTTTCCTCACTCTTTCCAGATGGCTTTACAGGCCACATAAAACCACTTTGCGGGCCACATCCGGCCCCCGAGCCTTGTGTTTGACATGTCTGATGTAGTGTGTGTGTGTGTGTGTGTGTGTGTGTGTGTGTGTGTGTGTGTGTAAGAGAGAGAATATTAAACTTATGTCCAGTGTTAGCCTGATGGACAAGTCACAAAGATAGGATGAAGGAGGAGGGAGCACACTTCTCACTTTCCTGCTGCTTCATCATATATTTCTCCTTCATATCTGTGACAGGTAAGTTGTGCAACAGGTAGGGAAAAGCAGGGAGGCCAGGGGGAATGTCTCTCCCTGCTCTACTTTTGGGACCCATCCTCTGCATCCAGCTCATAAGTCCCAGGCCCAAAAGAGAGTTGGTGAAGAACATTGGAGCATTGGAGCAAACAGCTCTTTCCTATTTCATCCAGGTCTCTCCAAGCCTGCGACCTGTCAGTACAGTCATTTTTAGACAGAGTCTCCTCTCCTCTCCTTTCCCCTCCCCTTCCCCTCTCCTCCCCTCCCCTCTCCCCTCCCTTCCCTTCCCCTCTCCCCTTCCCTTCCCTCCCCCCTCCCCTTCCCTCCCCTCCCCTTTTCCTGCAGAAGGACTTGCAGAAAAAAGAAATGGCCTATCCCAACTCACATGTGTGTGCCTGTGACATGTTTCTGAAGCAATTTGAAAGGGAACTAAGCTCTTCATCTGAGGCACCTGCCTGTGCTCACCCAATCCTGAGCCACCACATGTTCTGGAGGGTGATTGATGGCTGCTTCTCCCACCAGTAGGAAACGCCCTGGGTGGGAAAATGCACCCAGAAGTGTGCATCAGTCTCTTTCCTTCTCATTCCCCATTAAACCTGGAAGGACAGCGCCACTTGTTGGCTCTGAGGCGGAACAAGGCTTGGCACAATTGATACTGGCATAATTTTGCCAAGCATGGGAAGACAACACATTTACAACCCACTGCCCCCTAGTGCAGGAAATTTTGGGAACTATAGTCCATCCAATCTGGAAGTGGCCTGATTATGAAAAGTTGCTCTGACCCTTTAATGATTTTTTTATTCTAGCTACTCACCTTGCTTTGATACCATGATTCGGCCTCAGTCCGGCTCCTGTTGGCAATATCTTCATACTGCGCCTTGACCTCAGCAATTATGCTGTTCAAATCCAGGCTTCTGTTGTTGTCCATGGACAATACGACAGAGGTATCTGATACCTGCTGCTGCATTTGAGATAATTCCTGCAAAAAAATTAAAACAAAAACTGGGTCACCTGGACACCGGGGCAAAGGTAGTTTGGCCATATTGAAGCAGTTATGGAAAAATGGATTAGTGCTAGAGAAATTTCAGAAATGCTAATTCAATTTTGTTTGAACCCTTTCAATTTATATTCCAATTGGTAGCAGCCCTTTAGTTTTCTTACTAATGCCTTTTATCAGAGTTAGAAATTTTAGTCAGAAAAGGTGTTATTCACAATATTCACAAGCTCAGCCAAAATATGTCCTATAACTCATAAATGTTTTCAAATCAAAGTGATTAATTTCACTTGGATTTATTTAAATATAGTTCTGTCTTGATCCAGTAATAGCTGGAGGAATTTGAGTCTATATTGCAAAAAAAATGTGATAATTGATGTCATTAAGTCTCTGCTTGCCTAAACATTTAGTCAGCTCTTCAAACACATAACCACCCAGGTGGAAACTGGTGAGGGAAGATCCCTTCAGAAATATATCCTCTCTGAAGGAAAAACTGATCTAATATTTTCTGCAGAGGAATGTTAGGAAACATACACAAGTTTCGACAAATCAGTCTGCTATAATCATCTTAGGGATTCCAATTCCTCATTCTTTTGGCACTGCTAAAAAATAGTACTATATGGTTTCCCCTCCTTATTTTTTTTCTTAATGACAAGATTTTGCTTTTTTACCCTGATTTTTCTGCTGCATTAGGTTGATGTGCTAATAAATATTTCACTGGGTACGTTGAGGTGGTCAGGGGAAGAAAATGTCGATAGTGAGAGATTTCAAATTGGAGAATTTAAAAAGTAAAATTTTTTAAACATCCAGTTTGGTCTAGTGGTTAAGGTATCAAGCTAGAAACCAAGCGTTCTAATCCCATTTTAGGCATAAAAAACGGCTGGATGACTTTGGGCCATTCACTGTCTCACAGCTGAACCCACTTCACAGGAATGTTGTTGTGAGGAAAATAGGAGAAGGAAGGGTTATTAGGTATGCGCGCCACCTTGAGTTTCTTATAAAAAGAATAAGGCAGGAATAAAAATATTTTAAAAAATATTATTTATGGGTACAGAAAGGGAGCAGGTATTTCTGTTAATAAAAGTAACGTGGGTTTGAATTTTGGAGAAAAATTTTTACAAGCTCTTGGTGCTATATATCAAAAACAAACGGCACAACTTATAGTTAATGGGGGTTTGTCAGAGGTTTTTACAATAGAAAAAGGGACAAGACAGGGATGTCCATTGTCACCACTACTGTTTGTTTTAACTTTGGAAATTTTGCTGATTAAAATTCGAGAATCGCAGGAAATAAAAGGAACAGAAGTTAATAAAAAAGAATATAAACTAAGAGCTTTTGCAGATGACTTGGTGGTTACCCTGTCTCAACCTACTTATTCTGTAGTAGAGTTATTACAATTGATTTACCAATATGGACAGGTTTCGGGTTTTAAAATTAATAACAATAAGACTAAAATATTACCCAAAAATATGACTAATTTGGATAAGCAGACTCTGGTTAACTTGACAGACTTTGAAGTTGTTGATAAGACAAAATACTTGGGGGTCACTTTATCTGTTTCCAATGTAAAATTGTATAAAAACAATTATGAAAGGTTGTGGGTCAGGGTACAAAGAGATTTGAAAAATTGGGAGAAGTTGCAATTATCTCTTATGGGAAGAATTGCGGTGATTAAAATGAATGTCCTGCCAAAGTTTCTCTTCTTATTTCAAATGATACCTATCTTAAAGAATGAGGTTAACTTGGCAGAATGGCAGAAAGGTATCAATAAATTTATCTGGGCAGGGAAAAAACCAAGAGTAAAGCTTAAAATTATGCAAGATATTCGTGAGAGAGGTGGACTCAAGGTACCGAATCTGAAATTGTATTATGATGCTGTGGCTTTAACATTAATTAGTGACTGGGTTAATTTAACAAATGTAGAAATACTCCACTTGGAGGGTTGGGATTTACTTTTTGGATGGCATGCCTATTTAATTTTTAATAAAAAAGTTGACCGGGTTTTTAAATCTCATATTATAAGGATTTCTTTACTTCGGGTTTGGAGGAAATATTATAAAAGTGATTTTAAAATACCATTATGGGCTATACCTTGGCATGCGATAGAGGGGATAAGGAGAGGAGTTAAGATGGATAGTGTTTCTTATGCACAATTACTCAGATGGGATGGTAAAAATTGGCAGTTAAAATCTTTGGAAGATTTAGCACATGAAAATATTACATATTCATGGTTTCAGTATAGATAGACAAATAGTGGATAGATGGAAGATAGATCGTAATATGGGCTTGCTTAGAGAAGATGAAAATCTTTTTAAACAAGTAAAAGACCAAAGGCGAATTCACATTAAGAGAATTTACGGGGTGCTAGTAGAACTGGATTCAGAACCAGAACTAATTAAAGAATGTATGATCAAATGGGCACAAAATTTTGGTGAACCAGTTCTACTAGATACCTGGGAAACCATCTGGGTGAGGAATGTTAAATTTACACAAGCCCAGAACTTAAGGGAGAATTTTTACAAAATGTTTTATAGATGGCACCTTGATCCACAAAAAATGTCTCGTATGTATCCTGACTTACAGCCTAAATGTTGGAGATGTGGTTGTTTGGATGCTACTTATTATCATATTTGGTGGTCGTGTAAAAATATAAAAGCTTTTTGGATTAAGATATGGTGGAATATTCAAAGAATTTTTAGAAGGAGGGTAAAATTTACCCCACAATTGTTTTTGTTAGGTATCGTTATTGATTGTGATGCTAAGGAGGTTATACTGATGTTAAATTTAATCACAGCCGCAAGGTTGTCAGTAGGGCAATATTGGAAGAAGGAATCTTTGCCTACCTTGCAAGAGTGGTTTTTAAAAGTTTCTTATTTGGCGGAAATGGCAAAGATTTCGGCTTTTTTAAAGGATCAATCGCAAGAGAAGTTTTTTGTGGTATGGGAAAAATGGATAGATTTTATACAACATAAATTGGATATAAAAAATATTACTTAGTCTTTCAATAACTTATATATAAATCTTAATATTTTATAGACTATCTTTTTTTTTCTTCTCTTTCCTTATATTTCTTATTTTTATTTTATTTTTATTTATATATATATATATCTTTTTTTCTTTCTTTTCTTTTTTATTCTTTTTCTTTTTAAGCATTTTTTTTAATATTTATGCTTTTTTATTATTATTTTTTAAACTTATAAGATAATTAACAATTATTTTATTATTGTTAATTATCTTATAAGTTTATGTAATGTATTTAGATATATTTATGGTTTATACCTTTTTAAACTTTTTTAAGAGTTTTAGAAATTTTAATTAAGCCTATATTCAGCTCTGGGAAGGATGGGGGGATGGAGTGGGAGGGTTGGGGTGGTTGGGTAGGGTTGTTTTTTGTTTTTTGTCTTTTTTTTCTCTATTTATAAAAAATTTAAAAATTTTCAATAAAAAAAAGGTAACGTGGGTTTTTTTGTTTTCAATAGCATTTCTAAATTCTTCTTTCAAAATATTTATAGCCTACTTAATGGCAATTAGAAATATAAGAGAATTAATTAAAGGGATGATAGATAATATAGCCCATGATCTCTGCCAGTACCAAAGTTCATGCCTTACACATATAAAATACCATATTCAAATGCTTCCAATTAATAGATCTTGGAAAGATTTTGTCTTGAGCTAGATTTAGATTTAATTTAGATTTAGATTTGGATTTACTTAGGCTTTTTCTTAGCTTTAAGCTTAGGTTTACATTAAGAACTAAATTCTCTAGGATTCTGACTGAATATAGATCTAGAGCTCATTTTAAGTTTAGATTTAGAATCTTTGATCATTAAGGAAACTTACCAGCTCAAATAGTGCTTTCAAGAACTCAATTTCATCATTCAGTGAGTCTAATTTGCTAATAATTTCAATCTTGTTCATGTAGGCACCATCCACATCCTGCACAAAACATAGGAAAAGTCCGCTATATTTTCAGCAGAAAACAAACTTGCTCAGTTTTATACATTCCAACATTCTTTCTCATTGAGAAACCAATACTGCAGACAAATCAATTACCTTCTTGAGCACCACAAATTCATTTTCTGCACTTGTTCGTTTGTTAATTTCATCTTCGTATCTATTAAACAAGATGAATGAATTATATTAGCAATATGCATAGGTTGCAATATGAGTACTGAGCATTACTTCAGACAGATTATGTGGGGGAATTTGCACGCGCAGCAAACTGCCATGCTTTCCCCCCCACAAACCTCATAACCTTTTGATACCCTTTGTCCCAAGGAAGCAGTCAAAAGATCACCCCCTCCTGATTTAATATCTTACCTACCTAAACAGATAATATGCTTAGTTCCTTCCCTTATCTCTTCCCATCTTTATCTCTTCCTGTCTTTCATCTACCTGTATTTGTCTTTACCTGATCTCTGACCATGTAATGTTACTAGAAAATAATTGCTTATATGAAGGAATTTTTCAATTACTTTATGTCAACAGCTAAAGGTTAAACTTCTAAATGTAAAATGTCAGCAGTTAATGGCAAAGCCTATGTATGTAAAAAGTATATAAGAAGGAATAAACTCAGAGTTTGTTAAGATGTATCCTGCAGCTTCAAACCTCTGCTTAAGACATGCCTGTGTCTTTTTCTTAGCATCCTACATCTGGCGCCCAACGTGGGGCAGCCCTCCCATGGAGCAACTGGGACAGCCCCCCCTTCCGAGGGAGCAACAGCCAACTTACTTACCAGCATCTGGAATAGACCCCTAAGTGCACTTTCGTCCTACGGGACCCCTCAGTGGTAAGTAAGGGTTGCAATCTATCTCAGCACCAGCAAAGGAACTCAGATTCCTGTTACACACATCAGGCATGAAAACGCCTGATGCAGACAAAAGGAAGCTGATGGGTGAGGTAGGGAAACATTCCCCTTGATATCCTAAGTGCTGGACGCTTAGGTTACAAGATTGGGAAAAAAATAGGGCATACTTTACATCTTGAATCTTGGGCTCTAGTACAGGTATTACATCAATGGCATCAATGCCATCAAGCAGTGGAAAAATTTGGCTCAGATGCTTCAGCAGGGTAACAATTAACTACAAGCCCCACACCTGATTAGGATCAAAGTAAAAACTGTGCCTCCGAAAGCATCTTTAATTGGATTGAAGAGGCTAATTCTTTTGCCTCCTTACAGCCACCATACACCCCCATAAGGAAAATATTAGAGGAAAAATCTTGAAGTAGAAAAAAATATATATGGGGAATAGTCAGAGGAATTTAAAGAAACAAATTAAATTAAAATGTACTCCTCTGCAATGTGTTTTGAACAATTGGGATGTTTTGAAACTTCAAGTAGCTGTTAAGTTTAACCCTGTCAGACAATGTCTGATGGTGCTTTGTGTTGATGTGTAGAAGTATAAATAATCTTTAACAAGACAACACTGAAAAATTTTGTAAACCTCCGGCTGGCTAGTTTATCTGATAACAACTAAAGCCACGGAAGAAAAAGAAAAGAAAATTCAAAGAACTGAAAGCAAGTTTTTTTTCTTTTTCCCCCTTTTAATCTGGCTCTATTCAATTCCCTTTTGTCAAGAGGTAAGGAGAGGAGGCTGCTACATTTCCCTCACCCTTCACACCTTCAATATTCCTCTTAGTTTTTCCCCAATGTCTTTTGAAATTGCTGGGATAAGTTGGAAGTAACCAAAAATGTTCTCCTCCTTTTTAATTAAAAGGGGAGGCCTGTTTTAGCCTCAAACCCCAAATTGATGTGTCTTTTGTTTATGTATATGTGTGTATATGTGTATATGTGTGTGTGGCCACCCAGAACATTATGCTTGGGCTTGGAATGGTGAGAAAAATAGGAGATGATTAAAAGGGCCCTATTTTTTTTAAAAAAAAACAAAAAACACATGTTTGGTTGGAATCATCTCATGATTTTTCTCGCTTTTTGCAGGACAAGCCATATGTCTAAATCAATGTTGTTTTATTGGTATTTGTATATATATGTTTGTCTGTGTTGTTCTGTGTTATTTCCAAGACTTTGAAGAGGGTCAAACCCTCTCTGATAACAACAATACAAAAAGGCCTTATTTAAAAATAAATAGTTTGCCTGGAGAAAGTATAAAATGAAATATTTGTATGTGGAATTGTTTATACAAGCGGTTAGAATGAAAATGAATTAATTAATTTGTTGATACCTGAGTGTGTGTGTTAGCCCTCAAACCCCACCCCCACCCACTCTCTCCCAGGCTGTAAAAGAAATAAAAAACTGCAGATTTTATTGTTGTAATTGAAAAGTAATAGTAAGTGTTTGCATGGAGAATGTGTGAGAGAATTTATGGAAAATGCATGTCAAGGAGAGAAAACTAATTTTTAGTGGTGAAAAGTTTGTAACAAAAAACTTTTCCTGTCTCTTTTGTTTTTCAACTGGCTGTGTTGCTTTAAGAGCAAGAGAGACAGAAAGAAGAGGGGGGGAAACTGTTCGTTTTAAACTTTTTTTCCTTCTCTGCTTAGAATTCCAGTATGCGAATGGAGATGAAATTTAATCCCCACTCTTGCAGTTTCAGCTAGCAAAACTTAAGTTTTGTAAATATTTAACCTACTTAATAGAAATTTGTTTCCATCTTTCATTAACTTGGAATTTAACTTATTGACCAAAGGAAAACAACCTGGAGATCTCAATTGTAGTTCCACTTGCAGCATTTACCACAGTTGAGCAAATTAAGTACTTGAGTACTCAATTTGTGGACAGAATTCCACATAGGAATTGTCACTTAACACTTTTGATATTTCTTACTAGTAAGATACTTACAGGAATATTAGCTGTGTTAGAAGCGCAAAAAGTATATTGTATTGAATGGCTTTACTTATCCCATCCCAAAATGTTTTATCTTTTATCCAGGCTGTTGCTGAAATAACCTCAGGACACAATCAAGCTTGTCCTTGAAATGGGACTGATTTAATTAATATTGTTATTCCTATCCCAAAATTTGATTTTCAATTTTATTTTCAGAATAACTTATCTCTTCTGCTGCTATTTTAGCTTTCAACACCTTTTCTCAACAGACTTTTAACTTAATCTCTTATTCTCATTATGTGTGCCAACTTATTTTTAATCTTACAGGTGCTTACATCATGCCCAGGATCGACCCCAATCTTATGGCTTTGTTTTTAACTTTACAGCAACTATCCTTTGTTTCTCACATATGTATCGATCCTTTAAGGACTGCCTTCATAAACAAATAAAAAAGGAGGGATCAAGGGTACCTAATTTGGCATGGATAAATAATCAAGTCGATAAACTCCTAATAACTTTAAATCAGCTAAATATTTCTTTTCAAAAAACTACTGCCTACCAGCGTCACTTTCAGCAGAAAGCTGTGCTTCCTAATCCATTGGTATGTTATCGGCAATTGTCTGATAAAACCTGGTTAGATCCAATTCCCTTACTAACTTGGGGGCGAGGCTATGCTCTGTGCTTGCTCCTACAGGCCCTCTCTGGATTCCAGCCCAGTGTGTGCAACCAGCCAAAGATGTCATGGCATCAAGTCCAGAACCCAATACTGAAAATGAAGCAGGTGACTCTTCAGACATCACAACATCCCTTTCGCTCTTGCCATTGCAGTTGACCAACAATCTGGGGCGATGTGAAAAAACCTAATCTCCAAAGCACAGATGGTTCTGTGGCAACAGGGAAAAGAACTTACACCAGATAATTTATGCACTGCCATATTTGTGGTTTTGACTGCAAATTCCTTAGTCATTCTTTGCCTCTCTTTCCTTCTTAATTGCTGTGTGGGGGCTCAAGCCCTCCCACCTCATCCTTTAGAATCACGGATGAAATATAATATTTGGGTGCAATTAGCTAATGTAACACAAGTGACAGACTTTTGTATTTCTGAATTATATGATATGGAAAATCTACTCTCTACCTGTCTTATACCTGTGTGTGTTCCAGCTTCAATTTAAAAAAAAAAATTATGCTGGTTTAAGCAATTTTTTATCAGACAATGAATTTCATTATGCAACTATGTCAAGCTAGGGTCATGCCTCTTACATGTTAACCCTTGATGCTATTGTTTTACATACACCAATTGTAGCTGTTCCTACAAATCTTACTTATGCAAAAATTGTCAATTGTACTACTTCATCTAAAAAACCTCATTGTATACACGTCAGTCAAAGAATTTTAAATTGTACCTCCTTTCAAGAGATATCTTTTAATTATGCACATATATGGTTATTCAATGTCTTTTTTTCCTCTACTTTCAATTTTTCACACTAAACTACCATTAACTTACCTCAGGAACAAGTTATGCTTTGCATAAACAAGTGCAAAGTTATATGTCCCCTGACTAAGACCCACTAACTACTCCAGCTTAGAATAATGTCCTCATTAATAAAATAGAGAAAAGTGAGATGTGGGGGAATTTGCACGCGCAGCAAACTGCCATGCTTTCCCCCCCACAAACCTCATAACCTTTTGATACCCTTTGTCCCAAGGAAGCAGTCAAAAGATCACCCCCTCCTGATTTAATATCTTACCTACCTAAACAGATAATATGCTTAGTTCCTTCCCTTATCTCTTCCCATCTTTATCTCTTCCTGTCTTTCATCTACCTGTATTTGTCTTTACCTGATCTCTGACCATGTAATATGTTACTAGAAAATAATTGCTTATATGAAGGAATTTTTCAATTACTTTATATCAACAGCTAAAGGTTAAACTTCTAAATGTAAAATGTCAGCAGTTAATGGCAAAGCCTATGTATGTAAAAAGTATATAAGAAGGAATAAACTCAGAGTTTGTTAAGATGTATCCTGCAGCTTCAAACCTCTGCTCAAGACATGCCTGTGTCTTTTTCTTAGCATCCTACAAGATTATATATGAGACAGCTAAATTCACATCTTATAAGTGGATTCTAGAAATCTTCATAGTCTATGGCAACTGGCAACTGAATTATTCCCTTGAAAGGGAACCCATTTTCTTCTGGGAAGATCAATCCTTGGAATTCATCCAGCTGCTTCATGTATGATATAGTTTCAGAAGCATAATTTTCATAGGCAATCACAAAGAATTTCAGATATATCTTTTTTCCCCCATTATAGTTAGTGAGAGAAGTGTGTACTTCAAAAAGCACATCACTGTGACCCATTAATTAGGCACAGTCTTTAATTTTGATGTGGTTTTAAAAAACACAAGTGTAATTTTAAAACACAGTCTTTGACTTGAAATTGAATACCACATTTTAAGGTCAGGTCTTCATTGCAGCTTTTAATTGTTTTAACATTCCTTCTTCCAATGGGAACCCTGAAATGTAATTTGGTGGACAGATTTGGCAAAATATCAATATGCAACCTACACCAGAGGTCCCCAATCTTTTGAGCACCAGAGACCGGTTCTATGGAAAGAAGTTTTTCCACGGATTGGAGGGTGCGTGGTTTTGTGTGCTGCCTGCATCCTGCAGATGGGGCTTTGCTTCTTTGTGTGGCCAGTTGCTGGCATGCCATGGCCTGGTACTGGTCCACGGACCGGGGGTTGGAGACCTTTGACCTACACTATCATTCCTAGCATTTTATAAATAGAATCATAATTACTATGGCTACTATACAATTGAGACACAGTGGTAGTGTAGTTTGCCCTTAAGCATTCAATTGCTTGCCCCAATTTTGATGCTTATATGGCTTGGCTCAGTAATTTCGGTGGTTAGAAGCAATATGTTGCAAATGCTTTTCTGACAGTATACTTCATGTAGGTTCATATACTTGGGGTATATATATCTAACATTGACTTAATTTCAAAAAAAATTAAGTTTGTAGAACGAAGGCCCCTAAAGGCCATAAAAGAGACTGTTATAAAGACATAACAGTTATGCAAAAGTGTAAATGAAGAATCTAATTCGTAGTGGTGCATACTTTAATTTGCAATTCTTTTGTGAGGGTTTGACAGGATAAGCGTGTTCATTGCAGGCATCCCTCTGTGAAGCCTAATAACATAAGGCCAAATCAAACTATGCAGGGGGAAAGGTGGGACTGGAATGAACAAAAGAAGGATGGGAGGGTTTTGCTATTAGCAGATTAATTCTGAATGGTTTGGTAACAGTCTATAGCCCTAATCTGTTTTGCCTCTGAGCATGTGAGCTTCCAAGGCTAAATTGATTTGAACTACACAGAAAAGAAGGCTGGGTGATTAAATGGGTGTATGGAGAAATTAAGGTTTGTTATAGGATTGCAAACTACTGAGCAGAATCTATTTTGTCATTTTTCTACTTCTGTTTGCTGTTTAGAAAGCTAATGCATTCTTGTGAAGTAGTTAGTGTTTTTTGATCTCATTCTGACATAATGTTCACTAATGTTCACACCCAAAATTTAGTCCCCCAGAGCTTTTCTAGATTTTTAAGAACATAAAAAATTTGGTTAGGGGTGAAGTTCATGGATAAGATTCACAGTTCCATGTAAGCATTTATCAATCTGAATAAATATGTTAATAATGTGGATTGGGAAAGCACCTGCCTTGGTACATGTATTTGGTTCAAATCAAGCAGGTGAAACAAAATTCTCAAATCTTTTAGAAAAGGAAAGGAGGAACGTTGTCTGCCATCTGGCTATCTGAGTCCATTTCAGTTCATTATTTCATTAAAAAAAGATTGTATTGCCGTACATCTTAAACCCAAACTCCAGGTTTTGTGAGAGGAATGCAGTGCAAATGCATGCACAGGATTCTTCCCACTAGAATAAGTTCATACTGCTCATTGGATGGTTTGAGGTGAACAAAGTATGCTTATTATTCTATGCAGTTAGATAATTAGTGTTGGAATATTCATGAGCAGGAAGAGTTATGTGGTAACTCAGTCAGCCAATGTGAAGAAAGTGCTACTGAGTCTGTGCAAAAAGGTATTGAGTTAGGAGCTGGATTTCCAGTTTCAGGATTGTCTCTGTATCTCTCTGTAAGAAGTCTTCAATTGAGCTATGTTGCTGTAAAGAAGAATGTATGGTATTGTAAATATTTTTATATGAACATAAAGAAGTTATTTTGAATCAGCTAAATGCAGTCAACTGTGAGAGCTTCTGATTTATTTTTTCACCAATAGAGAAATTAAAATTCTCTAACAGGTTATGGGCCCAGAGCTTACTAAGGACTGCATTGTAATTTAAAGCTGGAAGAAATTGCCTGTGTTTAGAAAGTATAAGAACAAGGCAGAATTAGCAGAACGGCTGCAATGGAATTTAAGGAAAGCTCTGTGCCTCGTTTGGGCCAGAATAATTACATTATATGGGCTGCAAAAATGGAATGTTTGCTGAAAGCTAAAGAGCTGTGGTATATTGTAGAAAATCCACCACAAGTATTTGTAGCTGCTGATCAGAAGAGTCATGATCAAGCAATGGCTTATCTCATCTTGAATTTAGATGATGAACAATTTCTAAATGTTGCAAATTTAAAGACTGCAAAGGAGATTTGGTTGAAGTTGAGAGCTGTGCATGTGAATATTTCTGCATGCAATATAGTGCAATTGTCAAGAAAACTTTACAGGGCCTGTTTGCACCCAGGTGAATCTGTGGAACAGCATTTAAATAAAATGCAAAGTTTATTTTTGGATTTAGAACAATGTGGGATTAAATTCCCTGAGTTCCAAAAGGTTTTATTGGTGTTGAACAGTTTAGATAAATCTTGGGACACAGTTTCTGCCATATTTGAGTGTAAAGAAGAGCAAGACTTAAATTTTGAGGCTTTAAAGGCATGTTTGCTTAATGAAGAAATAAAGTGCCATTTTAGAAGCAGCCACGAGGAGGTGAAATTCCTGAGGAGGGGGTCTAGACTGCAAAAGTCTCAGAAGAAGAAACATTGTGGAGGCAGAGAGCTAAGCAAGAAAAGAATTGCTACATTTGTGGAGCAAACAACCATCTGACAAGGAACTGTTTGCAAAGAAACAATTTGCAGCAAAGGACATTTGTGCAACCAAAAAGGACAGATTTGCAAAAGGAACATTTTGGTGTTGCAAAAGTTTGCAATAGCAACAACAGAGACAAGTGGCTAATAGATAGTGGGGCAAGTGAAACAATTGTTAATGACTCTGAATTATTTTGCAGGTTTGTTCCAGTAGCACAAGAAGCTGTGGCTTTGGCAAATGGCCAGAAAGCAAAAGTCATTGGAAGAGGTGATGTAAAAGTTCCATATTTGGAATCAAAGTTTATCAATGTGCTTTGTGTACCTGAGATGGAACATAATTTGTTAAGTGTGTCTAATTTAGACAAACAAGGTTTTGAGATCATTTTTGTAAATGGGAAGTGTCTCATCAAAAGGAATGGGAATATTTGTGCAGAAGGCATAAAGGAAGGTAATCTATATGTATTGCAGGGACAAAAGGTTCAATGTTCCCATATATTTAAGAATGTTGCAGAGCATGATTCATGTGTTCATCTTCTACATAGAAGACTTGGCTATGCAAGCTTTCAAGTTTTGCAGCAAATGCAAGATTTTGCAGAATGGCTAAATTTGAAGGGATGCAAAACATATTTGGACTGTGCAGTATGCAAAGCATCGTAGTCAAAGGCATTTCCAGTTAGTAAATATAGCACAAGACAAACAAAAAGAGTTCTAGGTCCATGCAGATTTGGTGGGACCTATGCAAGCCAGTTTGGGAGGAGCAAAATATGCACTGGTAATTGTTGATGATTATAGCAGGTATAATTTTTGCTACTTGCTTAGAGCAAAGACAGAGGTGCTACAACAATTCAAACAGTGGGTAAGTTTTGTAGAGAGAAGGTACAGACAACAAGTGTGTCAGTTGCAAACTGACAGAGGTACTGAATTTATGTCAACTAAATTCCAACAATGGTTGGGGCAGTTGGGGATAAGACACAGACGTACAAATCCTTACACAGCAGCAGAGAACGATGTAGCTGAAAGAAGGAATGGTGTTTTGCAAACAATGAAAGATTCATTATTGGAGGATTCTGGTATGAGCAGGTCATATTGGGGAGAAGCCATATTGACTGCCAATTATATAGTTAACAGGCTGTGGAGTTCCTCCATTAATAATACTCCATATGCCATTTTATATGGGAGAAAGCCATCACTGGCATATTTGAGAATTTTTGGAAGTACTGCATGGATACATATTCCAAAAGCAATCAGAAGAAAGGGACAGCAAAAGGCAAGAAAGCTCAAGTTTGTGGGCTATGAGCCAGGGTCAAAAGGATATCGCTTTAGCGATGGAAGTAAAAGAATTGTTAATTTCAAGGTCTGCTAATTTTGCAGAACAAAATTGGGACAGAATTAATGCAAATTCTGGGTATGTCCCACTTAATGACGGTGATCTATTTAATGACAATAACTCATCTAATGATAAAAAATGATTATTGAAGATGTCAATGTTCAGGGAGGAGAGGTTGAACAAGACATGAAACCAGAAAGAATTGAGACACAGGAGCAGTTAATGCCATGTAGGTCAGAGCGATGTAACAAAGGAATTCCACCTGACAGGTATTCTACCAGCAAGGTAAAGGTTTGCAATGTGTGGTATGAGCCAAGAAGTTATAAAGAAGTGTTGGCATTACCAAAAGCTGAACAAGAAAGATAGAAGGAGGCCATGGATAAAGAGATGAAATCCATGGGAGACCATGAAGTATTTAAATCAGTGACTTTGCCACAGGGAACCAAAGCTGTGGGTTGTAAGTGGGTATATAAGAAAAAGGTATTGCCAAATAATGATGTACAGTTGTTGCAAGATTTAAATATTAATATAAAAGAATCTGTAAAGGTATTTGAAGACAATGCTGCTTGTATAAAAATGGCAACTGGTGACAGGGTGAAGAACAGAAGTAAACATGTAGACATTAAGTATTGTAATGTCAGGGAAGCTGTAAAAGAAAAATTGATTAGTTTACATCATTGTTCTTCTGAGGATAATTTAGCAGACATGATGACTAAACCATTGGGTAGTGTTCACTATGAAGAATGTGTAAAGTCAATAGGTCTGATGTCTCTTCCTGTCATGAAGGAAGGAGTGTTGGAATATTCATGAGCAGGAAGAGTCATGTGGTAACTCAGTCAGCCAATGTGAAGAAAGTGCTACTGAGTCTGTGCAAAAAGGTATTGAGTTAGGAGCTGGATTTCCAGTCTCAGGATTGTCTCTGTATCTCTCTGTAAGAAGTCTTCAATTGAGCTATGTTGCTGTAAAGAAGAATGTATGGTATTGTAAATATTTTTATATGAATATAAAGAAGTTATTTTGAATCAGCTAAAGGCAGTCAACTGTGAGAGCTTCTGATTTATTTTTTCACCAATAGAGAAATTAAAATTCTCTAACAATTAGTATCAGATCTAAGCAATTTTCTTTGCATTTATTGTATCTGGCGGCAAGTTCTTTTGGAATGAATTGCATGGGATATTCAACAAGAAATATCAACCTTTTATGTACACGTAAGCTAAAACTTCACACCAGGTATTGCAATAAGTCTTGGACCTCCAGACAATCAGGAATTTTGCTTACAGTGGAAACTTTGCAAATATGCTACGTAAACTGCTTTACGTAGAAATCAGGCAGAACATAGAAATCAAAATCTGCTTTAGACCTGTTGTTTTTGTCCTGCTTTTTTGAGTCAATGGACTTTTGGTCATTGTTTCCCAGGCCTTGAGAAATGAAGATTCTGCTCAGTGATAACATAAGGATTCAGTCTAGTCTAAACAGCTCTGGTCCCCACCTTGCCAGTTTCAGCCCTTTCAATATGTTAGACTGAATGGAATAGAATGGGAAGCTACTTACTTGTTCTTAAAGTCCTCCACCATGTCTTGCATATTCCTCAGTTCCAAGTCCAGTCTTCCCCGTTCATTTACTAGATAGTCAAGCCGTTTCCGGAGGTTGGCAATATAGTTCTCAAAAAGAAGCTCAAGGTTGCGTTGCTGAACCTGAGTCCCCTGCCGCTGTAAGAGCTCCCATTTGGTCTCAAGGACTTTGTTTTGCTGCTCCAAGAATCGGACCTGCAAGACGGAACAGACAAGGGGATGAAAATGAGGCATGTAAGCAAAGTAATACTTCAGTGGGGAAAAATCCTCCAGAAAAGAAATGAATGAATACATCCTCCATTTGTTCCTGAAAGTCTTTTGGTTGACACTTTGGCCCTTGCTCCAGTTAAAACCAAACCCGAATGGCTTCTCCGTCCTCTTTATTCTCTCTTGTCCATTCTCACTGGATAGGTTGGAAGCACCTTGGAGCAGAAAACCATTACATCTCTTATATGGTGTCAAGCATGTACAGAACAAATCAAACAAGGGAACAAATCAAAGACAGCAACTCAGGAGAGACAAAGAATGGCTGAAAAAGAGAAAGAAAAAAATGGGGGTCAAAGAGGGGACTGTGAAAGCTAGCAAGGAACAGAGCCGCTGTTCCAAGAGACATGAAAAATATGTGTAAAAATATATACTTTTCAGAATGATCATTTAGCAATTATATTTTCATTCTCCATAACCTAATCTCCAGAGTCTACAGCTTCAGTGTGCAGAGAGGCCCCAAAATGTCAAAGAGATTGCAACATCCAAAGCAATAATAGAATGTTACATGTTGTCATGCTCCTCTTCTAAACAATGCCACTGGATTAATAATAGTATTATAATTGGGGTATGAATTACTTGTGTTATCTGCAGTGAATATATGAAGCATCCTTTCTTGCCCTCAGTGCTTACCATATCTGTGTCACCTATTTTTAAAAGAATTTTTTTATAAATTGGCCTTAGTCAGGGTTAGTATTTGTGGATTCCATAAAGGATACAAACTAAGTACACAAATCCAGAAAAACAGAGGAAATAACTGCTTTATTCTCACAACTGTAATATTTAAGAATGGCATTATTGACTTTGAAACTAAGATGTTTAAATTGTCTATAACTGGGGCCTTACTTTTTCAGCAGATCTTGGGCTAGAACCCATTCAGTTATTTTACATGACCATTCATCCTCAGAATAAAAAAGTTAACCGAACAATATAATGGTTGCAACGACTTTGGACAATATTAGAAATATTTGTCTATTGTTTGCTCATTTGCTTATATCAGATATGATCTTATAACAGAACACCTAAAGATAGCTGATAAACAGCCATTGGATTGGTGACTTGAGTTTAAGAAGGATTGCTTCAAATTTAGAGGTCCCAAAGGTGAAGTAAAATCACCCCCTCTTACCTTGTCAATAAAGGAGGCAAATTTGTTGTTGAGTGTCTTGATCTGTTCTCGTTCTTGAGAACGGACTCGCTGAATCTCTGGGTCAATCTCAAGGTTGAGAGGTTGCAAGAGGTGCTGGTTGATGGTCACTTCTTGGATGCCACCAGGGGGGCAAACTGGAAAACCTGGACCACCTCTTACAAAACCTGGTCCACCTACCAGAAAGCCCCCAGGACCTCCACCCATGCCATAGCCAGCTCCACCTGCACCCATACCATAACCAAAATCAGCTCCTCCACCACCAATGCCATATCCTCCACCATAACCACCAGATCTTAGACCTCCAGAAATGGTACTATAGGCAATTTGTTTGCTTCCACCCATGTTGTGCAGGCTTCGGCTGCCAAATCCACCAAGTCCATAGCTGCTACCCCCTCCACCTCTTGCTCCTCCAATTCGAGAGACAGAGTAGGAGCTGAAACCAGTTCTCCCACCGCCACCACCACCAACAATTGCAGAGCCAGAGGTAAAGCCTCTGTTAGCTCCTCCAGAAGATGATCGATAGGAAACACGACTCATGATGGTTTGCTTGGAGAGAGAAGATGAAGAAAGTTTTGGATGATAAGCAGCACTGCAGAGAAAGCAGAGAAAGAAGAAGGCAGAACCTCTCTGATATAAAGGAGCAGGAAACCTCCCCTTTTATCTGTTTGGGAAAGAACCTGGCACAGAATTTGAGACAATTGGATACTCAAATGTTTGATGTGCCTTGCAGCAGCTTGTCTTCTGTGACACGCCTACTCCAGTCAACACAACCCTTCAGTACTGGTGTAAAAGCTTGTGGGTGAGAGAGAAAGATCGTGAAGGGATTGACATTTTTCCCTTTTTTATTTTTAGGCAACTGTTTCATTAGCAAAAAAGCAAATAAAAGGAGAGCATAATAATCACAAGTCTGCATATTTACACTCTGGCTACTCAGTTGTCTGAGTCAGATGTAAGGAAAGCAGCTCTAATTCTGATCATTACAAAAATATGTCATATATGTATATTTCTTTTCAATCTGTCTGGAGCTGTCTAGAGTCTTCAGTGTGTTGGGCATTGTGGGCAAACCTGTGAGGTGGACCAGACAGCCTACAGTAAATTAACTTTACTTGCATCCATATGTGGGTCCTTTGTGAGCTGCACCAGGTCCCTGGAGCTAAAGTCTTTGTTGTGCACATTCAACGGATTGGACCACAGATAATCTGCGTATAGTGCGTATGTTTTGACACTGAGGGTGGTCAATAATAAGGAATTTCATAGTTAAGCAAGCCACAACTCAGTTCTTTATTCCTTGAAGCCCCATTTACTAGATTCCTTTTACAGGGATTTTTTTTTGGGGGGGTGGGGGGTGTCAGTCTTGTATTTAATGGTATTACTCCCTGTGTGCTTTTTCGGGACTACAGTCTTAAAGCCCATATCTGTTCCTCTAATAGCAGAGATACTTTAGGCATATCGCTAATGACTTTTGCACAATACTTCATGCATATCCTTTTTTGGTGGCCCTAGATGCCTGAGCTCCATGGTAAAGATCTTCTGAACCCAGTAGAACAAGCAAGTCCGGAAGTTTAGTTTTGTTTGGGAATGCCGCAGTTTAGGGTAAGAAGGGCCTTTAGATCAGCTTGTGGTCTGCATACGCTGCAGATTAAAATATTCCATAAAGGCTACAAATGGTACACATATCTGTTACGATTTAGCCAAAAGTTTTGAGATTTTCCAAAAGACAATTGCTATTGGACTATGGGTTTGGCTGCTTTGGGGAATTAAGAGCTCTCTTTAGTGGAAAGTACTTAAGCAGAAGCTGCGCAACTAACTCTCCGGGAAACTCTAATTGCAATGCTGAGCAACTCAGATGGACAAGATTATGTCTACCGGCTATGAAATTCTACTCTTTTATCTGTGATCTTCCACTCCTGTGAAAAGGAGGAGAAAAAGATTCTGCTGCGCCGTCCTCACATATTCAATTGGTTTAAATATGAAGGGTTCAAAAAAAAGAAAGGTAACTTAAAAAATTGATTTTTAAAAAAAGCTTTAGGCCACTCACGTCAGCATTTTCTCATTTTGGCTCATGCAGTTGGCTTTTTATTTAAATGAAGAAATATATTTTATTAGAAAAAAATTCTTATACTGATCACAATAATTTGAATGAAAAAAAAAACTGATATTGAATCAACCCCCTCCAACACCACTATCCACAAATCTTTAGGGGGCAATTATCTATTAAATAAATGTAGCATTTATTATTAATATATTTAGTTTTGGCAAGACAACGCCTGTTTTATTTTTATAATAATTAAAGGAATATTCCCAGAGCTGATTTCTAGTCTGTATATATCATCCTTTGTCTCTCTCTCTGTTCATTCATGCAGGTACATGCACCTTAAAATTTTTAAATCATTTATTCTGAAATAGTCTCAGTGGCATTACTCCAGAATCAAAGACTAGAAAATTAAAAGGAAGTCATGAAGAGCCAATTTTGACAGTGAGAGGTAATTTTTTGTTTTCCTTTCCCATAACGAATTGTGGCCTTAAGAGAACCATTTTTTTTAGGAAAAATTGTATGCACAAGAACTCTTCTTTTGAAGATTCTAGTAACTGGTCAGTTCAAAATCTGAAATCTGTTGAGGCTAGATACTTCTTTTTGACTGTGCAAATGGATCACACATCATGGCTTCTTGACTCTAAAGAAGTCTGAAGGCCGTGTGAGGCTCAATGAGTCTTATCTGGATCCAAAACCACCAGGAAGCCTTAAAGAAGCCACTTGGTACTACCCCAGTAGCTGACATATGCAATTTTGTTGTATTTACATACAGAGAAGACAGCGATGTGGTAAGACTAGTAGAATGGGCAGATCCATCCCAGAAGAATAAGAATTTGCATAATACCTGTGAGATGCAAGCCTATCCAAACCTGAATGGCTGCAGGGCATCTGCATTGTCCCATCATTTTGAAGTCTTTCCAAGATTTGGGTGATGATATGAATTGTTACTGGTTCTTTTCACCCTCCTCGGTCTATTGAGAAGCTTGACAGAACCTAAATCGAAGTGCCAATTGCTTTCCTCATAGCATTCTGAGTAGTGTTTTGCTTCATTTCCAAGCATTCCTGTCGTTATGCGTTGCCAGTATTTTGAGTCGTTCACACCGGAGGCACATCTAAGTATCTTTGATTGTACATGAGGATTATTTGGAAGGAAACCTCAACCGCAATGGAAACTTATGCTGTAGCAAGGGGTGCTGTCACCTTGGAAGTAAGTGAGGCCTTAATTCTTGTGTGATTTGTATAAACGTTTATCCCTCCCAGCTATTCCTTGGTCCCTTAGGCAGAAATCAATTCAAAAGTTGAAATGAAAAAGCATTTGGGGTGGAATTTAGGGCTGAAAAATCAATGCATGCGCACACTGTACATTTCAATGTGCTTTTTTTACATTAAGAACCTATATACTATAATGCATGCTCTGTATTGATCAAAGCCAATCACAAATGTGAATATTTCAACTAAACAAAAAGTTGAGGTGGAATAGCTATGGCACCAATCAAGAGACCAAAAGTTAGATTGCTGGTTGTATCGAATGATTTCCTTTAATCAAATGAACTTCTTATCACTGCTGTAAGTTCTGTGTTTCGTAAGCTTTGATTCAGATAAAGAGCCTTACAAAGATTGATCTGAATACCCAAGATCCAGAAGGTACCTGTGATTTTCCCAATTTGATTTGCAATGGAAAGTTGCAATGCTATACTGTTGCACTGGAAAAAAAAACGGTGGAAGAAGAAGCACTTGAGGTTACATGTAGATCATCTGTTCTCTGCAATCTTTGTAACAGATTACTGAAACTTGGAACACGAAAAAGAATGAGAAAAAATTGGGGTACTTTGAAGCCTCTGCTCATCAGACAACAGACTCCCCAACTTAATTGTTTTTCAGAAGAGACAAGTAGACGCATGAACTTGTCTATTCTCTAAACTACATTAAAAAAAAAAAACTGGAAAGGGATGAGGAAACCCTGAGTACTTATTCAGAGTTTCACACAGTACTTGCATCAGACACCAGCTAGATTGTTTTTCACAAAAGGTATGCAGATAGTCTCTATTGGCTCCCTTTATTAATCTGAGAAAAATTGGGCTTTTTTTCATCCTCTGTTCCTCTATTACTTTAGAGCAGAGGTGTAAAACTGGCAGCCCATGGGCCAGATGCGTCATGCGTAGGCCATGCCTACCCCGGCTCTGCAAAGGCAAAAAACGTTGCAATACATCACATGACGTGATCAAGTTTGACACCCATGCTCTAGGGCAGGGGTCTTCAAACTTGGCCCTTTTATGACTTGTGGACTTCAACTCCCAGAATTCCTCAAGCATTTTACTGTTTCAAAGTGTAATTTGTATTTCTTTTTAAAAAATGTATTATGGGGAGACCTCGACTTGCAATCATTCATTTAGTGACCATTTGAAGTAAATATGTGACTTACAATAGGTCCTTCATCTTACAACCATTGCAGCATCCCCTCAGCCAAGTGATCACAATTCAAATGCTTGGTAATCGTTATGTATTTATGACAGTTGCTGCATGCCAGCATCATGGGATTGCCATTTGCAACCTTTTCAGCTGGCTTACAATAAACAAAGTCAAGGGGGGGGGAAGCTGGATTCACTTAACAACCATGTGATTCACTTAACAACCATTGCAAAGATAGTTGTAAAATTTGACACAAGTCTCTCTCTATATTACTAAACTTTAAAATAATTTCTGATGAATAAAGAATCTGCAAGTTACTGTGATGTAAATAAAAAATATTTTCTATCGGGGTACTTATACCTTCTTCTAGAATCATCCAAGTATCATTGTGCCAAGATACAGTAATGCTGACAGGCTTTGCATCACCACAGTAAAGGTTGAATGGTCTAACTCATTGGTGAGGAAATGAACAAGGATCCTTATCTTCCATTCCCAAATTCCAATATTTGCATCAGGCTTAGTCCTTTTACAGTGTTTTAAAAATAATTTAGTGTAATTACATTCTTTCCCCCTATGGAAGAAAACACACCTGCTAAATAAGGTTTAAAAGGTTTTTTTTTAGTGCTGCATCATATTCCTAACAAAGAGCAATGAAAATCAGGGCAGTACGGTTACATTTTCAACAAAGCTGTGAAAATGGTATCTGTTGAGTCCTTGGCGAAAAGCAGACGCGAGAAGCAGTTGTAGTTCTCAGGTTTTCTTTTATTCTGTGTTCAGCTTACAGGTGAAGGCTTCAGCAACGCCCAAAACCTCCCAGCCTCTTATATAGGCAATTCCCAGGTCAATGTGTTACTTTTCCCGCGCCAGCACCCGCGCATGCGCACAGGCGCTGGCAACAGCCTGTCTGGTCCCGGGCAGCTTGCACCTGCCCGGGACTGCCTGCAAACGCCCCGAGCCCGTTTGCAAGGCTTGGGACATAACACCCCTTTCCCCTGGGCTAAGACTACTACCAACATACAATTATTTCTTGATGCAGTGTTCTACTCCCCAGTGCTCCTACTGTTTACTGGCTTTTGTTTAGCCAGCAATGTTATGTAATCCTCTAAGTACGTAGGAGATTTCCTTGCTCTCTGTGACCTTCTCAGCTCTGGGTTTCTGACAGGTGTATCCTGACTGAAGGGAGACATGAACCTGTTCTCCTTATCTTGCCTTGGTGCCTTCCAAGGACTATGCCCCAATGCCTGGCCTGCTTGCTCGCCCACCGGGCTCGTCAGGCCAAGGCTTCTGTCACTTTGTGACCTGGTTGACCTGCCTAGCTGTAGGCCCTCGGGCCCCTTGAAGTGATAGCCACTGCTGGGTGTCTCTGTAGAACCTCCTAGGTCCGTCCAAGACCTGTCAGGAGGCTGTCCAATCCCTAAACCCTGTTCTGTGTCCGGGCTCGTGTGGGTTTCTGTGCCTTCCCAAAACTCAGTTACTCCCTGATTTGGGCTAGAGGTGTTGCAGTCGGGACTTGGTTCCTCGACCACCTCCCTGTATGTTTGACCCCCTGTAGGACTTGGGGTAAGGTCAGGCCAACTCTGGGGATTATGTGCCAGCTCTCTTGTGGGGTATGATTTATTGGGATGCTCCTGGGTATCCTCCCTGACTGGAGTACTGTGCTGTGCAGGTGAATAGTGATTGTACCCCCGGGATGACTCCCTGGCTGGAGTAGGCGTGAATGCCTGGTAGTTGGATAGGCTCTTAGAATTCCTGTTTGGGGCACTCGCGGAATCCTGGAATGGGCCGTTTGTGGCTCCATCGTTGGAGGTGGGCAGCAGCTTGTGCCCCTCCCTTTGCTCTAAAGGGTCCCCCTCCCCCCCTGGAAAAGACTCAGGAGTCTCATCTGAAAGATCCCGCCTAGGGCGGAGTTGGTCGATGTGCCGACGCAGGACACGACCGTTGTCCAGGGCTACCTCGTAGGATAGAGGACCTGTGACCCTGGAAATAGAAGCGGGGACCCATGTATGACCAGGCCCGTAATTGCGAGTCCAAACCGGGGCACCCACAAGTAGTTGTCCAGGTGCCCTAGGATGTGAGGTAGATGAAGGCGGTCTGTCCGGGTGCAACCGGTCAAGCTTCGTAGTCAGTTTGCGCCCCCAGTGAAGTTCAGCTGGGCTTCTCCCTGTAGAAGTGGACGGTGTGGTGCGGTAAGAAAGGAGAAAGTCAGCCAACCTGTGATGCCAGTCCCCATAGGTGAGTCTTTTCAATGCGTCCTTTGTGATGCGGACCATGCGTTCAGCCATACCGTTGGTGGACGGGTGGAAGGGTGCAGACGTGGCATCACGAATCATGTTAGCCTGTAAGAAAGCTTGGAATTCGGAGGAAGTAAATTGAGGGCCGTTGTCAGACACGATGACATCTGGGAGCCCGTGTGCAGCAAACATCCCCCTCAGTACCTGAATAGTCTTTGCAGTGGTGGTGGATGAGACAGGTACAACCTCAAGCCATTTTGAATGACTGTCAATGAGGACCAAGAAGAACTGGCCCTGAAAGGGCCCAGCGTAGTCAATGTGCACCCTAGACCATGGGGACTGTGTATCCTCCCATCTATGCACAGGAGCTTGGGAATCTCTGGGCGAGAGCGCTGGCACAGGTGGCATGCATGCACCTTAGCCTCAATGTCCTTATCTAAGCCAGGCCACCACAAGTGGCTGCGCGCTAGGGCCTTCATGCGAACAATGCCAGGATGACCCTCGTGGAGGGACTCTAAGATCCTAGTCCTCATTGAGGTGGGAATGACAACTCTGTTTCCACAAAGCAGACAACCCTGAGAAGTGGACAACTCGTTCCTTTTGGACCAGAAACTCTGAAACTCAGGACTAGGGCAGTGCTCAGGCCATCCAGACAAAACCCAAGAAAGGACACGTGAAAGTGTGTGATCTGTGCCTGTTTCAGCGGCAACATCCCTGGCATTCAGAGCGGACTCGGGCAAGGCTTGGATGGATAGAATGTTGACAGCTGGCGCAGGGTCAGCTTCTACTACTGGCAGGGGCAATCTACTGAGGCCATCAGCATGGCCCATTTCTTTCCCAGGCTTGTGGAGTAAGGAAAAATCCTATGCAGACAGAAAAATAGACCACCTAAGCATTCTAGGGGAAATGATTTGGGGAGTTTGTTTACGTGTGGTAAACAGTCCCAGCAGAGGCTTATGGTCAGTGAAGACCGTGAAATGCCTGCCATACAAGAAATCATGGAATTTTTTAATTCCAGCAACAACAGCCAGAACCTCCCTGTCTATCTGAGCGTAGTTGCGCTCAGCAGAAGACAGTGTTCTGGAGTAATATGCAACAGGAACCTGAGTTCCATCAGACCTGAGGTGGCTCAGGACGGCTCCTACACCGTAAGGGGAAGCATCACAAGCGATGCACACAGGAAGGGACTCATTGAAGTGTGCAAGTACACTGTTAGAAGTGAGTAAAGCCTTGACCTCATTGAAACTAGCCTCATGTGTTTGTGACCATTGCCACACTGCTTGTTTGTCTAATAGCCTGTGAAGAGGCTCAGCTACACTAGCTTTATGTGGAAGAAAGGAATTGTAGAAATTCAGGAGGCCCAGAAAGGCCTGAAGTTCGGCCTTAGAATTTGGCCTAGGTGCTTCTAAAATGGCAGTTAGTTTGGATTCAGCAGGGTGAATCCCAGCAGCATCAATTTTGAATCCCAGAAATTCAGTAGAAGGCACCCCAATTGTGCATTTGTCTCTTTTGAGCTTGAGGCCTGTTTTCCTGAATCTTAACAGAACAGCCCTTAGCCTTTCAGCTAGAATGTGTGTGGAGTCTCCTGCAATTAAGACATCATCAAAGTAGGGGCAAACCCCCGATATGCCCCGTAGTGTGTTTTCCATTACGCGTTGGAAAATCCCAGGAGCGACATTCACTCCAAACTGTAGCCTTTTTACCTTAAAGGCTCCCCTGTGGGTCACAATGGTCTGAGCTATGGCAGCATCATCATCAACAGGCAGCTGTTGATATGCTTGAGCTAGGTCAAGCTTTGCAAAAACGCGCCCCCCCCTTGAGGGAGGCCAGAATATGACTGACCACAGGAACAGGATAGGCATGTTGCTGCAATGCCTTATTTAGAGTGCATTTGTAATCAGCACAGATGTGAATGTCCCCATTTGCCTTTAGAGGCGTGACAATGGGGGTCTCCCAAGGGCTGGAATCAACAGGTTCTAGGATTCCCTGTTGGATCAGCTTGTCTAACTCAGTGTCAATTTTACTCTTTAAAGCAAAAGGGACCCTTCTTGCTTTAATTCTAATGGGCGTGACAGTGGGGTCTAGTTTTAAGGACACAGGAGGTCCCTTGAATGTGCCCAGCTGGGGGCTGAAGACATCTGCAAATTCTTTGCAGACTTCCTGTAGGTCGAGTGTTTATAAGCTGTTGAGCCCCGTGACGTGTATCCCCAAGGCTTCAAACCAATCGAGTCCTATGAGACTCGTTCGTTCACCCCCTACGACTAATATGTCTAGTGGACCTTCAAAATTCTTATACTGTACGTTAAGGGTGGCCTCCCCCTTAACACACACTCTCGAATTTTGAAAGTCTGTTAACACCATGTCAGAAGGCCTTAATTTAGCCTGAGTTCCACTGCCGGAACAAATCTTCCTAAATGTATGTAAGGATATGATTGAAAGGGCAGACCCCGTGTCTAGTTCCATAGTTAAGGGAACCCCTTGTAGCTTCACCTTGAGTGACAGCTTTTTCTTGATGGGCTTGTGTGTGCCTGTCCTGAAGATGCTTCTTCGCGAAGCGCAAAACCCTACCCTATTCTGGCTGGGGACCCTGGTACCTTTCAGGCGCAGTTCTTCCTGAGGTTGTACCTTTCGTCGGCCCAGACACACAGCTGCAATATGTCCTTGTTTCCCGCACGCCCGGCAGATAGCGGAGCGGAACTTGCCGTCGGTTCTCCTGTGGCGACCTCCACAGCCGATGCACTTGAGGGGACCTGCAGAGCTTCCTTTCTGATTTCCTTCCTTCATGGGGTGGAGACGGTCGACTTCCTCGTCCGGATCCTCCTCGGAGTTCCCTTGGACGTCCTCTTGGTGCACGGATGCAACATCTGGACTGTTCCTGATCGGCCACATGTTCTTGACGGCGCCGCCTGCTGCTTCTTCTGCGGTGACCTCTCTTAAGGCATCTTGGAAGGACAAGACTTCTTTGGCGAAAAGCCTCTGTTGTAAATCTCGATGCCTTAAGCCGCACACGAATCGGTCCCTCAGTCGTTCTTCGAGGTCCTTGAACTCGCAGTGCTTGGCGGCCTTCCTCAATGCGGCGATGTATTCTTTGGCCGACTCTCCGGATCGTTGATCCCTCTGCTCGAAGGTGTGGCGCCATGCGATGACGGACATCTTGGGCTGGAAGTGCTCCTTCAATAGCTTCTTTAGATCTGCGTAGCTGACAGACTCTAATGGAAACAGGTGCTGCAAGGTTCTCTGCGATTTCGAAGGCGTCTTGACCGCAGACACAAAGCAGGGTGGCAGCCTTCAAGCTATCTTCCCTCACTTGGTTCACCTTGAGGTAATTTTCCACCCTGGCTACGTAGGACTCCCACCGCTCTGGATGTGAGACATCGAACTCCGAAAGCCTTCCAACCTTTGCCATTTTCAGGAGACGGGTCTATCAGCCAGCCTACCCCCGAATGCGCACTGGATTGGCGGGTAGCTGCCGAGTCAACGCCGTTCCGCCGCTCAGGACTCACTTGGGTAAGCTTACACCTCTTCCTTTCCAGGCGATGTAAGGCATCCCACCTTCGTCGCCAGTG